TGCGTTGAGCTTGTGGTTTCTTCCCAGTCTGAGAGGTCGGACTGCGTGGCCCGTTCACAGGTGGTGATGTTAGTCACCTGCATAGCCTTCTCAGACGTGGAGGCGAGTGACTGCGTTCCCCTATGTATCCTGCAGGAGGAGGCCGTCTGCGTCTCCTGGTGGCGGCGCTCGTTGGCCGCTGGTGATGGTGGCAACGGCGATAGGCGCGGCGGGTAGTTCCAGCTGTAGGTCGGCGAGGTGTACCGCCGAACTCTCACGTCCCACGTCGTAAGACAATTCCTGCCCGGATGGGTGAAGCGCACCGGCGACAGCTCCAGAGGCTGCAGCTTCCACTCCTGGAAGGACCAGCTGATGTGCCGGCGAGTGGAAGCGCTGGTCGGGGGCTCCACAGAATGTCCGGTCCGCAAATGATGCCCGGGTGAAGAGGGCGGCAGAAGGGGACGTGGACGTTCCTCTAGCTGCTGCTTCCTGCCTCTCCGCAAGGTGCGAGGTGCTATAAGGACGAACCCGAATTTCCGCCCGTCGTCGCTAACTTTCGTCTACTAAGCGAGAGAAGTCCTCTCTCTAGCAGCGAAAGCCGCGACTGGTGATATCGATCGGCTCGCACTCTTATATATTCCTGCACGTCGGATCTCACTTCCTGGCGCCGACTCCCGGCTGCCGCCGCGTCGCGGCAAGTTCCCGTAGTTCGTTGAGCTTGCACGTGTTCCGCGCGTGAGTCTGGGCGCGCGCGCTTGCCGCCATGTTGTAAGGGACGCAAATTGGTCCCGCGCGCCCGTGCTTTTGTGGTGGTTATCCGCCGCAAATATTTTTATTCTCTTTCATTCTTCCCTTTTCCTCTTTCTTATCCCAGTATGCGAGTATTAAATTTCAGTACGTGACGTTAGATAGCGGCGTCAGCCACCTTATCAAACTACAGATGTTACATTTCAGTACATGCACATAGACTTTAAATATTTGAATGGTGTATAAATATTTGAATGGTGTATAAATAATTGTTTTGTCGTTCAAAGCCGTTTGATAGCCGTTCAGTAGTCGTTCAATAGTCGTTCATAGCCGTTCAATAGTCGTTCAATAGTTGTTCATAGTCGTTCGATAGCCGTTCGATAGCTGTTCAAAAGCCGTTGGATAGCCGTTCAAAGCTGTTCGATAGTGGTTTACATATAATAATAATAATAATAATACATTCATATTTAAAAGACTTGTAGACAATTGTCCGCGGGAACGTGCTACCTTTTGTCTTCTTATCATGTGCAGAAGGTAAGCGTTCTTTGTAACTATGAAAAAATTCAAAATGCCGTCACTAATAGACTTGATATTGCAACGGGATCGAATGCGTCGTGGTGGGCTCACGATCTGGTGATGGGGCTGTTGAGAGCCCTATTGAATCTAGTAGTATACCAGCCACACGCGTGCATGCCTTGCATTATCTCTCTCTCGCACCGCCTTGCGAACGCCGTATCATCCACGCCAATGCCGACGCCATCCTTCTCCTACACGCGTGCATGCCTCGCGCTATCTCTCTCGCACCGCTTTGCGAACGCCGTATCATCCACGTGCATGCTTCGCGCTATCTCTCTCTCCCAAGTGCATGCTTCGCGCTATCTCTCTCCCAAGTGCATGCCTCGTGCCATCTCTCTCCAACGTGCATGCCTCGCGCCATTTCTCTCCAACGTGCATGCCTCGCGCCATCTCTCTCCAACGTGCATGCAAACGCTATCCTTGCCTTACGCTCATATGGACGCCTCGCGCTATCCTTCTCCCACGCCCATAGAATATCTTTAGCGCTATCCTCCTCTTACACATTGCGGACGCCTCGCGCTATCTTTCTCCCACGCCTCCTCGCTGCATCGTACCTTCGCGTTCCCTCTTCCCCGCGGGTCCCTCGCCTATCAGTTTTGCCGCGATCCCCCTCTTCCCCGCGAGTCCCTCACCTATCGGTTTTGCCGCGGGTCTCCCTCCCCTTCTCCGCGGACCCTTCGCCTACCGGTTAGGTTAGCGAGTCCCTCGCCTATCGGTTAAGACGCGGTCCCCTTCTTCCCTCTCCGCGGACCCCTCGCCCATCGGTTTCGCCGCGGTCCCCGCGTGACGTCATACCCCCCGCGCTGATTTCCCCTCTCCCCTCATCCCCCCTTAGAGGACCTGGGATAGAACTTTCCTAGATACACTATTTATATTTTTTAAGTTAAAAGTTATTGACGACAATTTCATTGAAAATAATCGATTCTACATTGATTCGATATTGCTTTCACGCGCTTTCTCTCTCTCTCTCTCTGTCTTTGTCTCTCTCTCTCTCTCTGTCTCTCTCTCGCTCTTTCTCTTAAAAGTACAAGATCTCATTTCTCAATAAGAAACCGATAAGAAATTTTTTTAAGATTATTGATATAAGATGTTTCTTAAGATTATTGATACAAATAATGTGTGTATTATTATGAATGCATTATGTTAGTAATATTTATAAAATAAAAAAAAATAACTTAAAGGAGGATGTAGATATTACATTGGATATAGGTCAGGTTCGGAAATAATAATGCGAATGTCTAGTTTGGCAAATAATAATGATGACTTACTCCGAATTTAATAATGATTTCACTACTCCGAATATGACAACAAAATTAATAAATTTACTTGTTTTATTTGCGAAGCCAGGTATTAGTCTCATTTAAAATTTGTGAAAAAATGTTATTTAATATGTGGCGGTTCGAGAAACCATCACAATTACGCGCGAACTACCCGGTAAACGCGCGAACAAATTCTCACGCGCGGAGCACGTGAAACTCGCGCGGGAGCACCGCGCGAGCCACGAAGGTTCGCTGCGAGGCGGCCACGACCGAGAGTCGGCGCCAACAAGTGAGATCCGTTGAATGGGGTTTATAAGACGGCGCGCTGCGAGAAGACTTCGATTCGCGGCCCGCTGTGAGTCAGGGAAGGACCTCCGGCCCAGCAGTCAGACCGAGCTCAACGAATTCTTTCTAAGCCGGTGGGACATCCGGGTACGGCGATACACGTCACCCGCAACACCTTGGAGCCTACCGCCGCTGTTGTCACCCTTAGCAGCCTTGCCACTCCGCCACCGAGATTGCGGAAAACAGTCGCAGCCAGCCACACGAGTACACAGGGTTACGCAGTGTCAACCCCCAACGCTGACTGACAACACGACCCAATCTGACAGCGATTGGGAGGCCAGCACGCAGGACACGGCTACGCAGACGGAGGTAGCCAGAGAGGAAGTCTGCTACACGACTCCTGGTACTCCGTCGGCCCTTAAACTCGCACCTTCACCCGTGCTATCGAACATCGGTTCCCTCCGAATTACCACCACCGAGCCACGTATCACTTGGCGGGAACGCTCTCAACGTTAGCCCTTAACCGGCCCTTTTCAGAGCTAACAAAGACTAGATAATTAAGAATTGTACATAGACTGTAAATATATTTTCTGATTGCCAACTAGAAAAGAAGTCGCCTGATTGACTTCACCTAATTACGCTCTACCTATCCCTTGCGTCATCATCCGAGGGCGAACACGCCTCTATATATCTACCCACAACTGGTGACCACCGACGCGGAAGATGCCAAGGGACCCGGAAAGGACGATCATCGTCGTCGACGACAGCACGAGCGTCAACAGGATCGGCATAACAATACCACCATTCTGGCCGGAAGATGCAGAGCTATGTTTCGCGCAAGGAAGGAACATTCATCTCATGCGACATAGCAGACGACGCAACGAGATACGCATACGTCCTCTCAAGGATAGAGCCGAAGCAAGCCAGGGAAATAAAGGACATCATCACACAGCCGCCACCGAAACAGAAATACGAAGCAATAAAAAAGGCATTGATTCAGAGACTCACGGCATCCCAGGACCAAAGAATCAAACAGCTTCTGGATCATGAAAAGTTGGGAGATAGAAAGCCGTCGCAGTTCCTCCGACACCTCAAAACTTTGGCCGGCATAACGGTTTCCGACGAACTACTGCGCACATTATGGCTAGGGCGATTACCGATGCAAATGCAGGCCATTCTAGCAATCCGCGCGCAGGATAAATTGGAAGATGTTGCAGAACAGGCCGACAGAATTCATGAAGTAGGCAATAGGTCATTAGAGGTAGCAACCACGCAAGCGGCAGTCACGCCAACACGAACGACATGGGAAACACAGATGGATGCACTAAGAGATCAAGTCACCGCCTTGACAACACAGGTCACAAAAAATGACCAAGAAGTTCCAAAGAGAGCAGCAAGGGAGACGACCACGAAGCCAATCGAGAGACCGACAACGTAGCAGGACATCAAGAAGAGAAGGCATCTGCTACTACCATCGACGCTTCGGAGCAGAAGCTAAGAAATGCACGACCCCATGCGCGTTCAAAAAGGAAAACGAGGAAGCCAGTCGCTGAAGGCGGCAAGCGATATAGTGTGGCGACAACCGATCAGCGAACGTCTCAGTGCGTTCGTGCGATTGCCACACTTATAATTTCGCGTCTTGGTAACAGCCATGGCGACGCCACTAGAAACCTCCCTTGGAATATCCCTAGAGTAAGCCCAGAGACGCAACTGGCCAACGCGAGCCGCCAATCAGCAGCTGACACACTGGGCTATGCGGTTCTACTGCCGCGCGGAGAAACGAAGCTCCTCTAGTCACTTCCGTCCGGAGATACCAAAGGGAAAGCACGTTCCGTAATAATAAAGACTGTTTGTAGTAACCTATTTAAAAAAGAATATATATCTTCGTTTTATACCCGTGTGGTTAAATTACTCGTCCCTCGGCATTTTCTAGTAGCACCGATCGCTACATTGGTGACCCCGACGTGATTGATACAAAAAGAAAAAACGGCCACGTTCTCTGTTCCCACGGCCCGCGCAGTATCCGCCATTACGCCGGTAGCCACGTGCTTCGTTGCCCACGCGTCGCGACTGTACGAACGAGCAAGAATATCTCGTTTCTACAAAGTTTAGTGCGTGCGAGCTATCGCGTTCATATTCCGCATTGCCGAAGGTATGTCGACGGGAAGTAACGGAGATCCCGAGCGGCCACGACCGGCCAGCGCGGAGACCACGCAAGACGAGCCGACCGCCTCGGCCGACGCCATTTCGCGCCTAAAATTGCCGCCGTTCTCGAGAGCAGACCCGAGATGCTGGTTCGCGCAAATTGAGATGGCCTTCGAGCTGGAACGAATAGTCAGCGACGACAGAAAATTCAAGAAACTTGCCATGAGCCTAGACTCATCGGTCACTCCACTGGTGAGAGATTTGATCATGCGGCCTCCACGCGAGGAAAGGTACGAGACCTTGAAAACAAGGGTGCTCAACGCCTGCTGCGATTCCGCTGAGGATGATGTGAGGAGACTCCTGCGAGGTTTAAGCATCGGCGACGACAAGCCATCCAACTTATTGTCTCGAATGAGAAATCTTGCAGGTGAGCCATCTGACACGCGAATGTTACGTGAATTGTTTCTCGACAGATTACCTGAAAACGTGCAAGACATTTTGGCTTGTAACGACACTACGGACCTTAGCAAATTGGCGATGCAAGCGGATCGCATAATGGCACGGAAGGGACCACACGTTTCAGCAATTGAGGGAAAATCGACCGAGACGGCCCTCGTGTCTTGTGCAAAACACCAACCCGAAAAAGGCAGAGACGCGTTGATAATGGAGGTTGCAGAATTGAGACGAATTATCGAGGAAATGAATACTGACGACAGGCGTAACCGCTCGCGTAGTAAAACGCCACAGCGGCGACGTACGCATTCCAGGTCCAGAACGCACACACCAGCCGGAAGGAAAAGCAAAGACCGGATCTGTTTCTACCATCGCAGATTCGCTCATGAGGCGAGGAACTGCATACCGCCGTGCGAGTTCGTGCAGAAACCGGAAAACGTCAACGACAGTCGCCAGTAGGGGCGTTGAGCGACAACGTCGAACACCAAAATTGTCTCTTCGTCACTGATAAGACCGATGGTGCGCCGTTTCTTGTTGACACCGGCGCAGACGTGTCAGTGTTTCCACGCGCCAGGTGCAAGGGTAACGTACGTCCAACAAAGTTTGTGTTGTACGCCGCGAGCAAAACCGCAATACAACGTTCGGCACGGTCACTCGAATCATCGACCTCGACCTACGCCGTAAATTTGAATGGCAATTTTACGTCGCCGAAGTAGAATGGCCCATCATTGGAGCCGATTTCTTGCGACATTTTAATCTCTTAGTGGATCTCAGAAGGCGGAAGTTGGTAGACGGCGTGACGCAGCTCACTACCCCTGGAAAAGTAAGCAAGGTCGCAACACCAGCACTCTCAACAGTGAGTACAGACCACGAACATCGGGAACTTCTGCGGGAATTCATCGACATCACGAGACCGACAACGAGGAAGGAGAACAAACATGGGGTGCTGCATCACATCGAAACACACGGCCCTCCTGTGGCAGAACGGGCTAAAAAGACTAGCACCTGAAAAGCTTAGGATAGCCAAGGCAGAATTTGGACGCATGATTGAGCAAGGCATATGCCGACCATCGTCCAGCCAATGGGCCAGCCCATTACATCTGGTGTCCAAGAAGACAGGCGAGTACAGACCGTGCGGGGATTATCGACGGCTCAACAGGGTCACGATACCAGACCGGTATCCTATCCCGCATCTGCATGACTTTGCGCATCGCCTTCGCGGTCGTAACGTATTCTCGACACTCGATCTGACGCGCGCGTATCACCAGGTCCCGGTAGCGCCACAAGACATACCAAAAACCGCAGTGATCACTCCGTTCGGTTTATATGAGTTTAATGTAATGACGTTCGGGCTGTGCAACGCGGCACAATCGTTTCAGCGACTTATGGACACGGCATTACGTGGTTTAGACTTTTGTTTTACGTACATAGACGATATTAATAGCATCGGACAATAAAGTTCAGCATCAACAGCACCTACGCGTCGTATTCGAACGGCTACGCGAGTTCGGGTTATCGATTAACGTCGCGAAATGCGTTTTGGGTGCGAGTAAGGTGAATTACCTCGCGTATGAGGTGACGAAAGACGGAACTCGTCTCCTACCCGAACGAGTTGCAGCAGTGCGGGAGTATACACGGCCAAATAACATAACTGAGTTACGCAGATTCCTCGGTATAGTGAATTTCTACCGCCGCTTTACAAGGAATGCAGCGCAAGCATAGGCGCCACTCAATGCAATGCTCGTGGGCGCTAAAAAGCGTGATAAACGTCCAGTCGTCTGGACATCCAAAACGGAGGAGGCTTTCAACGAGACGAAGCGTCGACTAGCTGAGGCAGTTCTGTTGGCGCATCCTACTGAAGGCGCTCCGTTGATCCTTCGCACCGACGCTTCCGATTCAGCCACTGGAGCGGTGTTGGAACAGCGCGTAACTGGAGGGGTTGAACCGTTGGGGTTCTTCTCTCGGAAACTCACCGATCCACAAACACGCTACAGTACGTACGACCGGGAACTACAAGCCATTTATAGCGCTCTAAAATTTTTTAGACACCTAGTTGAAGGACGAGAGCTGTTGATCCTAACCGATCACAAGCCCCTTGTCTATGCATTCCAACAGCAATCCAGCAAGGCATCTCCTAGGCAGCAAAGGCAGCTAGATTTTATAGGCCAATTTACCACCAACATCGAACATGTCGCAAGTCAGGACAACATAGTCGCCGACGCGTTTTCACGCGTACAAGCCATCGACATGCCCGTCATCATCAGCACTCAGGAGCTGGCCGAAGGCCAGGCCACAGACACGGAACTGAAAAACATTTTAGACTCTAACTCGACGTCGTTACAGCTGAAAAGACTCCGAATCGACGACTCCGACGCTGTCGTGTACTGCGACGTGACAAACGCTGATGTACGCCCGTACATACCGCAGCAGCTACGAAGACGCGTGTTCAACACGACACACGGACTCTCTCATCCGAGTGGCCGCGCAACCAGGCGAATCATAGCACAACGTTTCGTATGGCCTACGATGAACAAGGACGTCATGGAGTGGGCAAAAACGTGCGTGCATTGCCAGAAGAGCAAGGTGCACAGACACAACCAGCACATGCCACAGCACATTCCAATTCCGGATGCCAGATTCTTCCAGATTCACATCGACGTAGTAGGACCACTACCAGAAGCGCAAGGGTACAGATACTGTCTGACGATGATAGACCGGTTCACCAGGTGGCCCGAGGCAACACCTATCCGGGATACCACCGCGGAAACGATCGTCACAACCTTCCATCGGACATGGATCGCACGCTTCGGTGCACCAGGCGTCATCACGACAGACCGAGGGTCACAGTTCGAATCCCGAATATTCGACGCCATGACAAAGTTGATTGGCAGCAACAGGACACAAACCACAGCATACCATCCAGCGTCAAATGGGATGGTGGAAAGATGGCACCGATCAATGAAGGCAGCGATTATGTGTCACGAAACACCAGATTGGGTCAGTATCCTATCGACAGTCCTCCTCGGCTTACGCACAAGCTATAAGGATGACATCAAAGCTAGTGCCGCCGAACTCGTATACGGAACGACCCTCAGGCTTCCAGGGGAATTCTTTGTAGAAGAAGAGCCCGCGGAGGATCCACAACTCTTTAAAGAACAACTGCGCGAACAAATGCGCAAGGTAAGAGCGGCACCCACAGCACACCATTGCAGGAGAAGACCTTTTGCACACGCAACGTTGTACACGTGCACCCACGTCTTCGTACGAGTCGACGCCGTCCGACGCCCGCTGGAACGCCCATATGAGGGCCCATATGAAATGCTCGAGAGACAGTCCGACCGAGTATTCCGAATCAACATCCGGGGAAGCCCTACCACAGTCTCAACATAGAGACTGAAGCCAGCCTTTTTCGAGGTCCACGCACAGCGTGAAGACACTTTTATGTTCACAGGTTCACAGGTTCAGGACAGCCCGGAAGCAAACAACAGCCGGCACCGGCAGGGACACAGACGACAGCTGCAGGACCGGTTATCAAAACATATCCTGGTCGCAGAACAGTCCGCTTTGCAGCAGAAGACAACCAAAGATAACCAAGTCACTCGGGGGAGAGCCCTGTGGCGACAACCGATCAGCGAACGTCTCAGTGCGTTCGTGCGATTGCCACACTTACAATTTCGCGCCTTGGTAACAGCCATGGCGACGCCACTAGAAACCTCCCTAGGAATATCCCTAGAGTAAGCCCAGAGACGCAACTGGCCAACGCGAGCCGCCAATCAGCAGCTGACACACTGGGCTATGCAGTTCTACTGCCGCGCGGAGAAACAAAGCTCCTCTAGTCACTTCCGTCCGGAGATACCAAAGGGAAAGCACGTTCCGTGATTATAAAGACTGTTTGTAGTAACCTATTTAAAAAAGAATATATATCTTCGTTTTATACCCGTGTAGTTAAATTACTCGTCCCTCGGCATTTTCTAGTAGCACCGATCGCTACAATAGGCTCAGAACCACGCCACCTATATATGACAGACCGGAAAACAAAAATAAGATACTTAATCGATACCGGATCGGACATAAGCGTCTACCCACGCGCAAGGACGCAAGGCCGGAAACAGGCGGAAACATACCAATTATTTGCAGCAAATGGATCAACGATATCCACCTACGGAGAAACAACCATACAACCGGACTTCGGACTACGTAGGGAATTCCCATGGCGATTCATAATAGCCGACGTCACACAGCCAATAATAGGATCAGACTTCTTATCGCACTATCACCTCTTATCGGATGTAAGGAATAAGAAGCTAATCGACGGAAAAACAGGTCTCGCGGCACACGGGTCAAAAAGCAACCATAAAATAAACTCCATCAAAGCAGTAGCCGGAGAAACAAAATACGACAGCATATTAACAGAGTACCCAGGAATAACTCGACCAAACGGAAGGAGCCAACCAGTCAAACACAACACAGTCCACTACATACAAACCACCGTGGGACAACCAGAAGCATCCAGACCAAGAAGACTGTCTCCAGAGAAACTACACATCGCAAGGACGGAATTCGACCTACTGCTACAGGAAGAGATAGCCATCGAAAAGCCCATGGTCAGCACTACTTCATATGGTGCCCAAGGGAAAAGAAGCATGGCGACCGTGCGGAGATTATAGAAGATTAAACACACGCACGATACCAGATAGTTATCCGATACCACACATAGAGGACTTCGCGCAAACATTGCACAAGAAAAAAGTTTTCTCAGCGCTCGACCTAGTGAGAGCATATAACCAAATCCCGGTACATGAAGAGGACGTACCGAAGACAGCAATCACCACGCCATTTGGATTATACGAATTCAAATTCATGCCGTTCGGACTTCGAAACGCAGCACAAACGTTCCAAAGATTCATTAATGAAATACTAAGGGGACTAGACTTCTGCTATGCATACATAGATGACATATTGGTAGCATCAGCAACAGAAGAAGAACACGAAAAGCACATGAGGGAACTTTTCACCCGACTAGAAACCAACGGGGTGAGAATTAACCCAGCCAAGTGCACCTTCGCAGCCGCACAGGTTAAATCCTTGGGCTACATGGTCTCAGCAGAAGGCACCAAACTACTACCATAGAAGGTGGAAGCAATCAAAAACTTCCCTTCTCCAAAGACGGTCAAACACATGCGACAATTTCTGGGAACTATCAACTTCTACAGACGTTTCATCCCAGGAGCAGCAAAGAACCAGGCAATACTGAGCGAAGTATTGAGAGGACCAAAGAAGAGAGGACAACAACTAATCCAATGGACGCCAGAAATGGAAGAAGCATTTGTCAACTGCAAAACCAGCCTATCTAGAGCAGCGCTCCTGGCACACCCAGATCCAACAGCAGAGCTGATGGTAACGACGGACGCCTCGGACACAGCACTAGGAGCGGTCATACAACAGAAAGCTAAAGGGGA